AATTGCATTTTTTTAAAATAAATTTTGGTTACTAATATTAAAGAATGAAACGATCCGTTAATTAAACCCAGCTAAAAAAAAAAATGTATTCAGTGTTTCTTAAGTTTTCATATATTTTTTTCCTTAGTTGCCTGATTGACAGTAAACATCTGTTGTGTATTTATGTGAATGTCTATGCATTTATGTGCACACATAACAGTGTTAATGTGTAGTTTTAAAGTAAATGATGAATGGCTTTCGATCTCCCAGCTGTTGAGTCTGTCTATATAGACCAACAACTATGGCTTTGTCAGCAAAAAGAAATGATCCATCAACACACACAAACACATGCACACACACAAACACAATTCTGCAGCCTGGTCAGTAATGAGTATGATGGATTGCACCTGAGGTGTGTCATGTCTGGGATATTGATAGGCAGGTATTGGAGGGCCAACATGAAATATTAATAGGCAGGAGCTAAATGCAGATCTGACATAGAGCGAGAAGGAGAAAGAGAAGGGCAAAAAAGAGAGATGTTTGAAATGCAATTGGTTGTACCTGAGGCTTGATAGCAAGTACAAACTGTGCATAGTGATAAAAAAATGCAAGCATTCATGTAAGTTTGTTTGAGAATTTGAAAGATGTCTAATATCAGTATCAAATTTTTGGTTTTCTCAATGGAAATTCCCTCCATGTTTGACACATCTCACATAAACACACACACTCAAATCTCTCTCTGTCACTCTAACCCATATCCTGTTGTGGTTCTTGCTCTCTCCTCGGCTTTGATATCTGAGAACCGCTGACTTTCACAGACAGACAAGGGACACCTTTGTCTTTGCCACACTGCACGAGTGTTTGTCATCGTTTTTGGAAATGCGTTTGTTCGACTGCGTCCAGGCCATTTCTAAAAAACAATAGCGACTAACACACTTAGAACAAGTAAAGTCCTGCCAAGAATCTGTCCTTGGTAATGCACTTTAAACAGCAAAGAGGGCTGCAACATATCTCCCCTGCTAGAAGTGGGGAGGGCATGTTATCTTGATGTCTGTGTGGGTGTGTTTGTGTGTGTGTGTATTGATGCAGCACTGCAGAGCAATCTATACTAATGATTTCCCATAGACACCTCAAGTTGTTCTGAGAATCAGGGAGGATGGGAGGGAGAGAAGTCAAAAGAGACGAATGATAAGATAGATCTATAGGGAGACAGACTGAAGGAAGGTAGGGCCAGCATGGAGGAAGGGAGGGAAGTTGTAAAAGGATTATTACCAATATTATCACACTTAATGCACAAGCCACAGTTTAAACATGTGCTACCTTTTAAGCTGCAACATTGAGAGCCCTGCACAGGGTTTATAAGCTATAAATGATGATGTTACTAAAAGGTAATGAAATACTTAGAACTTTAGACTTACCTTTTGCTAGTAAGCCATTAACTGTCATTATTAGGATATTAGGGAGGCTTTTAGTAAAAATGTTATGTATAAATGTTGTATAAAGGTAAATGGTCACCTTTACTTATACAGTCATAGACTACAGAGTAGATACACCTGTTTAACTGTTTAACACAAATATCTAATCAGCAAATTGTAGTACAGTAACTCAATGCATTTAATCATGTAAACATAGTCAAGAAGGCTTGCTGAAGTTCAAACTGAGTTCAAACAGAATTGGGAAGACAGGTAAAATCACTCAGGATGTGGCAGGTTTTTGGCTTATGACAAGCTGGTCTGATTATTTCAGTAATGGCTGATCTACTGGGATTTTCACATTTTCACAGCCATTTACAGAGAATGCTCTGAAAAACTTCCTTGTTGATGGCCAGGGGACAGAAAGACAGAGAGGCAACAGTAACTCAAATAAGTAACAAAATAACTTGTAACAGTAACAACCAAAGTATGCAGAAGAGCATCTCTGAAGGCACCACCTTCAAGTAGATGGGCTACAGCAGCAGAAGACCATACGTGGTGCAACTAATTAGGCTACAGTTCACACTGACTCATTAAAAATAGACAAAACAAAATTGGAAAAATATTGCAACAACATTGCAAAGCTCAAATGACCTCAAACTAGTTTCTTGAACAGTGACAGTGAGTTCACTGTACTCAAATGGACTTCAGAGTCACCAAACCTGAATCCAGAAGAGCGCCTTTGGGATGTGGTGGATTTTGTGGAATGGGAGATTCAGATGTGGTGTCGGTAAATCTACAGCAACCAGATCAACCATCATGTCAGTATGGACGTCTGAGATCTCTGGGGAATGTTTCCAGCACCTTGTTGAATCTATGACACAACGAAGGCAGTTGGAAAAAGGTTCAAACCCACTGGTAGTGATGTGTACCTAATGAAATGTTTGTTGAGTGTAAATGGCAATTCTCATTCTAGCAGCTGCTAATAAATTCTTAAATACAGTTTGTAGCTTGTAGCCCAGATGCTGTACCAGTAAAAGCTGTACCGCTCATTCAGTAACAAAAATCTTGGTACTAAAAATCTTTTAGAAGTACCTCACAACTGACCAATAACGCATCAATAAACAATGTATTAATCACCGTAATGATTATGTGTCTTTTTGTGAGCGTAAATGTCATGCTGCACTTTCATCATATAGTAAAATATGAAAGGGACTGGTTTTACAGTACTGAAAGTCCCCAAATATGAGAAATCACTTTGCATGTGTCCACAAACTCTGCCTATATGGCAAAATATTAGAGGAGCGTTTTAAGAAACTCTACTTTCTTCATATATATCATATTGGCCTTGCCCTTCTGTTTGTTTCCCTTGTCTATATCTACCTCTGTCTTTCTTTCCCTTCTCAGTTTTTATCTGTTTAGCATTTCTAATATATATGTTGTGGGTTTTTTCATTAATTACTAAAATGCATTTATTGTGTTTGCTTGTTTTGTCATTTCATTTGAACTTTTTTGAAATGTTTTTATTCATGGAAAACTGTTAAAATTGAATTGAAAGTGATATTTAGTCATTTCAGTACATTTTTACATCTGTAATTTGGTAAGAAATGTTTTTATGATAAATTATAAAATTGAACTAATACCTTTCTGCTAAGGTCTGCATTGGAGTTCCTGATATATGATACTGTGTTGTGTAAGAGCAAGCGTTCCTGCTAACTTGTATGTGGGCTCTGTATGTATGGTGTGACTGTGTGAATGCCTTGAACTTGCACAGTGGAATTTCCTCCAATCACTCCACATTGTTCACACGAACAACGAGTCAAAGCAACAGGGCAGGACAGAAACACTCCACACCCTCAGGGTGTCTCTGAGGAACCATAAGCACTTCCAGGTCAAAAGTCCAACAGAAACACACACATGGTAGCACACTCTAATTCACCAGGTAATTGTCCAGAAAGTTCACATTTCATTAAACAAGTGGGTCTTCATAGAGAGGGATGCCTTAAGTCTTTGTGTTTCTTATAACACTTTTGCTGAAGGCTCACAGCTGCTTGGTTGTCCACTCAAGGACATTCTGACCTCTTAATGACAATAAAATAAGTTGTCAGAGAGCATGAGAAGTCATTCATCTCTATTATCCTCTGTGGTTTCCTGCATCTGACAGTAACAGTGAAGCAGGACTGAGAAAACAGCAGAGCCGGAGAAACAGACACAGGGAAGGATGACACAAATGGAGAATTTAGATTCTTTTTCCTTGTTTTATAATTAAATTTTTAATGATTCATTCAAATGACTGACACTGATGTATAATATTCAGTATCAAAACCTTTTCAGTATAACATCTGCCTTGTAGCTGCTTGGTGACCTTCTCAGTGGGCTATACAGGTGGGCAGAGGTCGAGCTGCAGTGGGCTGAGCTGTTATATCTGTATATATAAAGCACATTTAAAGTAAACCTGAGCTGGATAGATTTATGTTTGCATGCCCTATTTATATATATATGTGCGTGTGTGTGTGTGTGTGTGTGTGTGTGTGTGTGTGTGTGTGTGTGTGTGTGTGTGTGTGTGTGTGGAAGAGAGGCAGTTGGTGTGGGAAAGACTCTTGAGGTGCTGCATTAGAGGAAACAACTGTGATGAGCATTGTGTTGTGCGTTTGATTGTAGGCGAGGAAGTAGAAAAAATTGGTGTGTTTATACAGCACAGTACAGCACATGAGTCTGAGCCCTTACAGTCGCATGACCCTCTGCGTGTGTGAGTGTTATCAAGAGGAAGTGATTACTGTATAACTTGGTCAGAGGGAAACCTCTGACTATTGTTCGGCCCTTCCTGGTCATTACAGAGGAAGACGAGACTCCATCACTGTCACTTTTTCTCTAGCTAGCTTTCTCTGTCAGTGACTTTCTTCTCTTTCACTACTTCGATCTATTTATTTTCTCATTTTCACTGTTTAGCTCCACCTTTTTTTCTTTTTCTTTTATTCTTCATACTAAAATAAACAGCTGAATTAAAAACCAACTGTTCGATAGGCACGAACTAATTAATTATACATTTAAAATCTTCTTTTTATTTAGCAGGGACTTTAACTTCGTCACAGTTCTTTTGATCAAATGCAAGCAGTTTGTCTGTTATGTTGTGCTGCCCTCTGCCGTCTAAGATTAATCCTACGCAAAAGCGTCTGCAGCCCCCAGAATTTCCAGTGCGAGGAATTTAGGCTGCTAGCGTTTAATTATTTCTCATAACTGTGTACATATATATATGTATTATTATGCATGTATCATGTGTATTCCAGAGTGCATTATGTGAAAAAAAATATTTAAAAATGGAAATCCCCAGCCTTTAATTTGAGCTATGATCCGTATAAAATTAAAATCTAGTAAAAGGCAGTCTGTAGTAGAATTACATTTTTTGCTTTTATTTTCTTTTATTGTTTTTGCGAATATTTTTAAAAGAAGCAGTTCGTTCTATTCTTGCTATAGACTGAAAGTGACCTTGCGGGAGGCCTAAAGTTCGTTACTTAATTGAAACCTGCACAGCTGCGCTTGAATGAATCAGCACGACTCCTCCAATAATCACATCTAACTTGATTCACCTGAGGCGGCTTTGACAAATATAATCACCCGGCGGTTGGTTTCATTGAGTTTTTATTTCAGGAGCTTGGATTACTGTGCGCTCAAAGGCCAACATGCCCACCAAAAACGTTACCGACGAACGGCTCTCCAAATTTAAGAATAAGGGGAAAGATCCAGCAGTAAGTTGACTATGATTTTTTTTTTTAAATTTATTTATTTTTTTAGGTTCTATGTAATGGGTTATTTTATCTGAGCTACACCATCTACTCCTGTAGAAACTTCGGGAGAAAAGGATCACGGAATGCGTGGAGTTGCGCAAAGCTCACAAGAATGAAAATTTCTTGAAAAGAAGAAATATAACGCTGTCGTCCCTCCCGGACGAGGAGGCCCTGTCTCCAGACTACATCCCCAACGAGCTGGTAAGTTTCCAGAAACCTTTAATAACTCTACTAAAACTAGCAGAGACTCTAACAACATACCTGTAATCCAGGTGACCCACTTATCCATTGAGGACATAATTAAAGACGTGAACAGCGACTGCAGGAAGTCCCAGACCCGAGGCTGTCAGGCAGCCCGGTGAGTGTTCAGGGATGATTATGATCTGTCTGATACTGTCTTCAAATGTAACCCTTGCTTTTTGCCATCTCACAGATGATTACCAGCTCAGTCTGTCTGTAAAGAAAAACATCAATTTCAGGGATCACATGGGACCTGTGGGGAAACCGTAATGGGCGTTTATACAATGTTAATGACACCCAAAAATTTATTGGGTACAAGTGAACTGAGCAAAGTAAAGCCGGTACCTTAACTTTTTTTTTTTTTTTTTTTTTTTTAATCGTCTCCTCAGGAAGCTGCTTTCTCAAGAGCGTAACCCTCCTCTGAAGGAGATTATAGATGCTGGTTTGCTGTCTAACTTTGTGTCCTTCCTGTCTATGGACGATGAGCCAACTCTGCAGTTTGAAGCAGCTTGGGCTCTAACAAACATTGCCTCCGGGACCTCTTGGCATACACAGCAGGTATTAAAGCTGTCTGATATTAACGTTATATTGGACAGATTTCACAGTAATCAACATGTTGGATATTGTCAATATTCAACATATTATAGTCACATGTCTGCTTTGGGTTTACCTTGTAACCTCAAGCCATTTTCAGAGCAGATTAAATGTGTGTGTGTGTGTGTGTGTGTGTGTGTGTGTGTGTGTACCCTCAGGTGGTGGAACATGGGGCTGTACCAGCTTTCATCTCTTTGCTGTCCTCGCCAATGCTGCACATTAGTGAACAGGCTGTCTGGGCTCTTGGGAACATTGCAGGTTAAATCTTAAATGCAATGTATTGTCATGTCTGGCTTTGCTCTAACAAAGGGGGGTGTTGAAAATGGGGAATCTGAGATGAGTTTCAAAAAGCGCCTCAGTTGCTGAGTAACTCTGAGGTCTTCCCACTAAACAAAGGAATATGGAAAATAAAATCCAGTCCTCTACTTCAGTTTCATTGTTATGCTTACAATGTAACTACTCCTCAGGTGATGGTGCAACTTATCGCGATGTCCTGATTGAGTGCAATGTCATCCCAGCCTTGTTGTCTCGAATCTCTCCAGACACACCGGTCAGTTTTATGCAAGCTTTGTTTGTGTTTGTCCTCTTTTTCTGATAACTTCTAAATATTCTGGATTTGAGATTGTCCTGCACTTGGTAGAGTCTAGGTTTAGCTTTGCACTTTAACCACACTGCCAAATCATGACTGGTTTAAATGCATTATGCTGAAAAATCTATGGTTTTAATTTGTCAAACTCAAGTTCCCACAAAGGAACTTGACTGCCTTTAACTGGTTCTAGTGTATAGTAATTCATGTTGATGGCTTTCAATGCCAATGAGTGCATCAAATTGGTCGAATGTGATCAAATAAGTTCTAATGAGGAAGATTATTATTATTATTATTATTATTATTATTATTAATAATAATACTTCAACTCATGATTCATCAACTAAAAGCCCCAACTAAAATAGTATTATCAGATAACTAGTAAAATGGTGAAAGAAACTTCAAGTCTAAACTGTAATTGACTCTAACTCTAGGTTGGCTATTTGCGTAACCTGACATGGACTCTGTCCAACCTGTGTCGAAACAAGAATCCATTTCCACCCTTGTCTGCAGTCCAGCAGGTAAGATCAGGAACTGTTGTATTGACACGTGATCAGATTGCACATCTGAATTCCAAATCCACCAGTTGATAAGCTACAGCTTCTGCTTCTGTAGATGCTTCCTTCACTGGTCCAGCTGCTTCATCTAAGTGACAAGGACATCTTATCTGATGCATGCTGGGCAATCTCCTACCTTTCTGATGGTGACAATGACCGCATTGAAACTGTAGTGAAAACCGGTATTGTTCCTCGACTGGTGGAGCTCATGAGTCACCAGGAGCTTGGTGTCATGGTAGTGTATAGACACACCCCTACTCTGAACTTAAGGGTCTGTCACTTGAGCATAAGTTAAAAATCTGACATGAGATATGAAGATTTAATACTTTCCCCTCTGTCATTACTCAGTGTTGCATTTGAATATGAATGATCACTTCATATAATTTTTTTTTCTTTTTTTCATAAATCTTTGACAACCAGACCCCAGCTCTCCGCTCCATTGGGAACATAGTGAGTGGCTCTGACCTACAGACTCAGACTGCAATTGATGCTGGAGTTCTAAATGTCTTACCAAAGTTAATGAGGCATCCAAAGGCCAGTATTCAGAAGGAGGCAGCATGGGCCTTGTCCAACATTGCTGCAGGTCCATGCAAGCAAATCCAACAGCTGATCACCTGTGGTCTGCTTCCTCCTCTAGTACACTTACTGAGAAATGTGAGTAGCCTTCAATCTGTAGTCTGAATTCAAAGTGTAAAACTGCTTAGTATACCACCTTTGTGTTTACTGGGTTACTTGATCCAACGTAGTTTTAATGAGCCATCACTCTGTGGATAAAGGCCACAATGAAGTGTAGGAGTTTAGTTCTTTTTCCAAGTGAAGTTGTGATAAATGGGCTGAAATAACACCGAAGGTTGGCTTGCAACTTAAACAATAGTGCTGTTCAGATTCTGAGTAAGCTAGCTGTCAGTATGTTAGGTTTTTTGTTTGGACAATTTTCTGTATTAAAGAAAACACCATTTCACAAGTAACAATGGACTTATCTGTTCAGCTGCCAAATATTTTATTTTTGTAAATATTCTTCCTCGTCTCAGGGTGACTTCAAAACTCAGAGGGAAGCTGTTTGGGCTGTGACAAACTTGACTAGTGGGGCTACTGTGGAGCAGGTAGTCCAGTTGGTGCAGAGTGGTGCTCTGGAAGCAATCATCAACCTACTTCAGGTCAAAGATGCCAAAGTCATTCTGGTCATATTGGATGCTATAAACAACATCTTCATGGTGAGGGCAGAAGATGTCGCAGATTATAAAATGCATTAATTTTGCTAAATTAAAATGCAGTGAGATTTAAGTCTAAATGATACTATGTTTGGTGGGTTTGGCTGTGACTTTTTCAGGCTGCAGAAAAGCTTGGTGAGATGGAGAAGCTTAGCCTGTTGATTGAAGAGCTGGGAGGACTGGACCGCATTGAGATGCTGCAGAACCATGACAATGAAATGGTGTATCAGGCTGCACATAACATAATTGAGAAGTACTTTAGTGATGTAAGTCTTAGCTGTGTGGATGAACAGTTATAATGTTAGCCTTAAACTTTGTAATCTGAAGTTGGGAACTTGTACTAATATTTGTATTTTATTTTTGCATTTTGATTTGAAAGCTGACTGAACTTTGGTTTCTTTCTCTCTTCCCCTCTATCTAGAGTCTCACTCATGGTGAGAAGGTTGATGCAACAGAGGATGAATTTGCTTTTCAAAGCCCTGATGTCCAGAAAGCCTTTGAATTTTAAAACTGACTATGTATGTTTTGAATTCATGTTGAAAATTTGAATAAAGGAATGATCTCAATGGTACTAAACAGTCATGGCTAACTTGGGCAAATCTCATTGCACCTGTGAACCACAGCAAACTAAAATGTCAAAAGTTTTCCAACATTTAAAACTGTTAAATCTGCAACTTAAGTGTAAACTTGAATAAAGGCTAGACGTCAACTGCATTGCTGGAATTCGGGTTGCTAGTTTCACTTTACTACTTTCCTGCACTGTAACTTCATTCTGTGTCACTCTGGGCAAATCATTAGCTTGCAGAAGACTGACAAGAAAATTGGCCTCACTTACAGGTGCTTTATTTCTGCCTCTCGAACATTTGTGGCACTCTCCTTTATCCCGTCCCCACCTGCTTCATCTTTACTACCACCAGTGTCTAAACTGTAAGGATCATGTCCTGCTTCCTACAGTTGGTAGTGACTCTGAAGTTTATTAAAACTGAACATGAGTTGGCAATCTGTCATTTATTGAAATTTAAGCATTCAAGTCTGGCTGACTACACTCTGAACTGGTAATTCAAACAGACACTCTAACGTGCAAACAGTATAGTGAAGTACACTTTCCACCTCTCACATGCACCGTTCTCCATCTGGCAGCCTGTTTCGCAGCATCAAAACCGTAACGACCAGACACTGCAAGAGCTGCTTCCCCCAAGCAGTCAGAGCCCTCAACTCACTACCACTAAAGGACTGATATACACATACACCTCTACAAACACCTTACAATACTGACCAAAGGATTCAAACCTTCCACAAATCCACTACAAAATGGACCTGGGAACAAAAATGTAGCATGCTATTTATTTGTAAATCCTAGTTATCTCTTGGAGATGTATTTATATACTTAAATGCATCATGGGGGGCTTGGGGTGAAACAGCATTTTGGTACGCTGTATACTGTTGAATTGACAAAGCTCTTGAATCTAATTTCCCCCTTTTCAGCCCAAGGAAAGTGCTAGGAGGAAGTAGAAGACTAAGTCAAAAGCATGAATTGCCAAAGCCACCCATCCTCTTCACATACCACTGAAATGTAGTTGAGATGTGGCTGCACACTGATCACGAACTACAGCTTTGCTCTGTAGAATAGAATTACAGACGACCTAGCTAACAGAAGTGACCTAAAAATAAAGAATTTTCAGAACTTTTTTAAATTACATCGTTACAAATAAAGAAATTTACACATTTCCTTAAAGCTAATACAAAATTACATTTATAAAAACCAAGATGTGAAAATTCACAATGGTCAGACCAGGCTGAAGTGTGTGCACTGGTGCATCTGACCAGTGCTCTTTGATAATGTCTTTATCAATTGAAAATTGATACTCTTGGCAGACTGGCACTGGACTGACTCCCAGAATGCCTTGAGCGTAAAGCCATGATGAAAACAAAACTACAGCAGGTGATGTGAACTTCTAGTCTTAGACATCTGGCAACAGCTGCAGACTTCTTTCATAACTGCCCTCCTAAGATATGACTTTTTCTAAGAAGGCAGCAGCTTTGGAAAATGTTCTATTTGTCACAAGGAAGACCTACAATTTTTTACACAACATTTTACACAAAAAGTTTCAGTATCATGCTTTCCTTGGCTTGCCAAATTTTAAATGATGCAGAACAATGAAAAGCAATGTGCATAGGTATGGCTAAAAATACAACTGAGTCAGCAATCAAGCTAAGATGTGCAACAGCCATTAAAAAAAGAACTTACTGCTAATGTGTTGAATACAATGGTGATTTTGGCCCCTATTAGGTGAGCTAGGTGGAGCATTTTATTGCTATTTATTATAAATGGAAAAAATACAAATAGGAATTTGGAAACTTGCGTTCCTGTCGAAGCACCAGACATCAGTCTTTAACAGTGTTTGTGGACGTGTGTCTCTACATTTTCTCATAGCTAAGCTCATGTCCACAAGTGAGGCACGTTTTCTTGTAGAGGTCTTCCTCTTCATCTACAACCTCTTCCGGTCCGTACTCATGCTGGTGAGCGGTGGTGTTTTTGGTCCACATACTGCTCCTTACTGCTCTGCGTAGCTCTGATACACGCACAGAGACACACAGCTGATGTTTAACAATGCTCAGTGTAACCCATTTGGGAGGGGAGAATTTTGGCTCAAAGCAAACACCAACCTTTGACCTTCTTGTTGAAGCGTTTTTGTTTCTGCACCTCTCTGTTCTCTTCTCTTGTTTCTCTGGCTTCTTCTAGAGCTTCCTCTGAACCCCACACCTCCATACATCTTTTCTCCACCTGTAATATACAAAAACCTTTTAGCAGGTCCATAGACTGTACAGGTAAGATGGACACTGGCACCATGATGCCCCCCTTGGAATTGTAAAATTCTGCTTTAAAGTTGAAATTTAAGCATTTCGCTGCAGCCATCTTTGGTTTTGGGTTGAAGCTAATATCTGGAAAACCGAGGACTAGTCAGCCACACTGTAGCTAGTAAATTCTAAATGTTTAAAAGTGATTAATAAGTTACTAAACCAAGTGGGAACTAAGTTTTTTTTCATAGATCTTTTTGTAACCAAAGGAATCGCCCCCTGCTGTCCATTAGAAAGACTGCAAGTTTAAATCACTTTTACCATCTTCTTCACTTTTAGATTATGTAAAAGAGACTTTTACATAATCTACTGTAAATCTCTGACATCTACAAAACATACACCCTAATACATTTCCTGAACATTTAGCGGTACTTTGGTTTACTCACACCTCAGCCTCTCATTTCTTGGGTAATAGTATTTTCACATTATTTATGTTATCACAAATCTAATGACTAACGATTTTTAACACACAGTGATTGAGTTAATTGGTAAGCTTGTGTCATAAAACGTGTGCATTGTAAACTTAAAACAAAACAAAACAATTATCTGCTTGTTTTTAGTGAAGATTTACGAACCAATCACTTCGCATTTTTTATATGAATAAAGTTTCACATACATTAAGCTTTTTAAGACAGAAATACTATATTTAAGTTCACAGTGAGCAGTCTAGCCACACAACACTGAATGCTAAAGAATATTAGCATAACGTGAATATAGGTTAAAAAAGTTGTATGAACTGCCCTTCACATATTTTCATACCTGCAGCTGGAGGTAGAGCTTCATATCTCCCCAACGTGGGTTATGGGGGTTTTTCTTCAGTATAAACCTGAGAGGAGGCTCCCTCTTGTCCAGGTCACAGTCCTTCAGCAGGTAGCGCTGCTTAGCCTCAGTCCTGGAGATCAGCTTGTGCTTTTCCTCATTGTCCCTGAAAAGGAAATAGGTTTAAAATAGATCTTTAGTTGTACGACTATATAAAACAAAGTTGACAGTTATACACAAAAAAAGTTTGAGGCAACTAAATGACCAAAACATTGCACTTTAAAGCCCCTAAATACATAGACTGTGATGGACACCAGCACAAAATGTTTAGGTATCTTAATGCTTAATATAGAATGCACAAGCAAATACAGTAAATGACAGCAAATCATCCTTTTTTTAAATTTCGTCATGATGAAGCCTTAGTTTAGTTTTGTTTAAAAAAAAAAAAGGTTCAGTACATGTAACATGTAACATGAGGAGGTGTTAATTCATCCTCCAAATTCTTCCAGATCTCAGGGAGCATGACTGTAAACAGCTGTTAAACACCGGAAATCAGTGAGGCTTGCAGGTGTTTATGGTTCAAAGTTTTAAAATATAAGTCACCAAATAAATCTAATAAATATAAAAGTATTAATTGTGCACACAGACAGCAGCAAACACATCAGGTGTGTGTGTAAGTGTATACCTGCAGCTGTCGCACACAGACAGGTCAAAGCTGTTGCTCAGGTACGAGTCCATAAAGGGTTTCTGACATTCATCACACATCAGGTACTCTGGTTCAATCACCGGAGCTGAAAACAACGCGGACCCACAGTGATCAAGAACAAAGGTAAATAATGTAAGTACGAGACGAGCACGTATTTGTCTAACTAAACACACACCTGGCTGATGCACCACTACCTTGATCGTCTGCTCTCCCTCTATATTTCCCTCCTCGTCGATAAAGAACCCAGCTCCGGAGTCGATGGTCTTGGAAACTTTGGCCGCTGTTGCGCCCTCCACAGCGGACAAAGGACGACTCGCAAGACGGGCTTGTCGGAGCATCAACGCCCGCTGCCGGTTCCTCTCGATTTTAGCCCGCATCGCCGGGGAAAGCTCGAGTTTGGGACTCGAAGCACCACCATCCACTGTCTCGGCCTGTGACGGATCCATGGTGCTCTCTAAACACAGCGATCACGGCAGAGCGATGAATTAAATTACTCTGCAGAACTTGCCCCGGTCCCTCTCGCTCCATGCAAAGTCCAGCACTAGATTGTTGTTACAAAACTGACAGCTGAATGCTTCCGGCTTCTTTTTCGTTTGGGTCTTTTGGTGATTTTCAAACAGCTTTCGGGGGCAATACCGCCACCTTCTGTCTGACCCCGTGTGGAGTAAAGCACACCGCTATCGGACTAATAGTAACTGAATTCAAAAACGTCCACATATCTATTTATTACACTTTATATAATAAAATATTGCATATTCATTTTGATTCTTATGGCTTAGTGATTGTAAAACCAGAAATTCAATATTTCCAATTATTATTATTATTATTATTATTTTCTAAACTTAGTCAAAAAGAAAGGATACAATGTATCCTTAAAAAAAGCTCCCAATGAGCCAGAGTTTCTTAAAATGTTTCAGTTACTCTTTAGTAACAGCTATCCAGACTTTTTCTTCATTCAAAAGAATTGTCAGGCCTGAAACACAATCTAAACTATCTACAGCATACAGTATCTGAAAGTCATGTCTTGAAGAAACAACAGAGACCAGACCCAGGGCCTGACAGGTAGCAACAGGGTTTATGGACCTGATGGTGGATATTAGGAAAGAAGAGCTAAGCAGAGCCTACAGTCATTTGTCAAACACAAGGGAGGCACTGTTATTGTTTGGTGTTACATTTTAGTCAGCGGTCTTGTCAAAATTGATGGATGTACAAACAGGAAAAGTATGGTAAGATTCTGATCCACTGTGTATTATCATCTGGAAAACATCTGATTGGCTGCTCAGATTGGAAGATCAGATTATCTACTAATCAGAAGATTGGTGCTTTCATTACTAGCTGCTCCAGTCTGCATGCCAAAGTATCCTTGTGGAAGATATTGAGTTGCTCGCAGATGCTTTCATTGTAGTCTGTATATTATATAGAAGCACTTAGGTAGAAATAGCATTTAAAAAAATTGTATGAATGGGTTTAAATGGGTCCATGAGTAATGTCATATAAAGTGCTTTGAATACTCGAGTAGAACAGTGCTACATAAGAACCAGACCATTTACTATTAACAATGATCCCAAAGACACTGGTAATGCAGCGAAAGCATTCCCAAATAGAAAAACACACATTACTATCAGTCATGAATTGGCTTCCCCAGAGCTCAGACCTCAATATTAGTGAAGTTATGTGAGATCATCTTGGCAGAGAGTGGAGCAAAACACCGCCAACATCAAAGAAGAGCTTTATATTTGTAAACTTCTTAAAGATTGCCGCAAATTACAGCATCAGCGTAGCATGGCCTGGAGACAATCAGCTTGTGCCTCTGCTGAGTTATTATTAATTTATTATTAATTTATCCAACAGTTATAACCAGTCCTGTCATACTAATCTAAGAGTAAAGCATTTTGACTGGAAAGCGTCATGGAAATGTGAATGTAATTTTTTTTTTTTAATTATTTGTAATTTCAAGAAGTATTAGTCAGAGGAATTATGGCTAATATGATATCTCACACCATTCAAAACTCTTTTTCTTAAATAATCTTGCTTTCTTTTTTCTTTTTCTTTTTTTTTTTAAAAACGATCTCCAAAAGGAACCTGCACAAAAGTAAAACACTTCCCCCCCTAATGGCTTCTAAATATAGTATTTCAAATTATAAATCTTTCTTAATCCTGGTTTTGTGAGATTGTAAACTCATTATCGCTGCACCAGAATGCCACTCATGCTATTACGACTTTCACTGACCTAATGCCCTTGAACCTTTACAGGGCAAAACTCATTAGCTTGTGTGTGTCCACACTCAACATTAGTTATATTCAGTTCAGTTATTCAGTTACTCCCTAACAAGCACATTTTAAATGTCATCATACTTATATCTGTATACAACTTCTGTAATCCTAAAACAGTTCCACCCCAAAAATGATCATTCTTTTATAGGAATCAATAGCACACACATTTACTCAGTTACTGACAAAGACACTTGATACATATATGGGAATTTGGCTGGGGTGATTTGTAGCTTGTTAACTGGCAGACAGGTACTTGAGTTACTCACAACCTAAATTTATAGGTAGTGAGGAAATGTCCTCAGATATCCCCCAAGAACAACCTTTACCGCTGTCCTCAGCTGTCCATTTAATCTTGGTTGCATCTCACTGGTCTTTGCAGCGGGCCATGCCTGCTTTTGTAAGAGGCTTGTGTCTATGTAAAGCAAACCACATCCTGATGGATGACACTGCTAATCTGTGTTATGAGGAAGGTTGAGTGGTAAACTGACCTCCCTATTTACGTGATTTAAATATGTCAATGTCACATTTTGTTAAGAATCTAGCAGGCAAAGTATTCCAAGATCTGCAGAGTAATTCATATGATTTTCATTCACAAATTGCAAATATACTGCAGTTAAATTATGCTGACAAGGCTGTCGGGAGCATCTATTTCTTAATATTAACTAAAAAAGTTCACCGACATTGATTTTTTTATTTTTTTTTATTTGACCATATAACATTTTATACAGAGATAAATTATATATGTTTTTACAGTATAATACATGTTTCAAGTAGAACATTATAACATTGTTGTTGAAACTGGTCGGAGCGAATCTTTCTAAATGCACTCATTCACATACATTCCTCACATTCTTATGATCCATCAAAGCACGAAAAATGTAGTAGTGATACTGCATAGACTGGCTAAATCTGAGCTGGAGTCTGAGAACATTGTGCTGAGTTTTATAAGCTGCTGTATGTTATGACTTTGACGTACAAACGCTTACAATCACATTAGTCTCAATTAACGATTACAAAAAAGTAGTATACATAAAAATACACAATAAACACACATTTTGACGTTCGGAATAGTTGGTATCAGTTTTATGGAAATAAACTGTACACTTATTTAAAAAAAATAAGAATAAAGTTAAAGTAAAATGAAAAGAAAAATCAGAAATATATATGCATATATATATATATGTACCTGAATGAAGCTGATATTTTTCATGACATCTTTTCAATATTAGCATACAGAATTAAAAAAAAAATATCCAAGAATAATTTTAACAAAGATGTGATATATTGTTTCCATTATTTATTTATTTTTTTACTTGTTTTAACTGCTAATGTTTGCACTTCCAAGAATTAACAGCAGAGGGAGGTGATAATTGTCTACAGCTCATTTAACTAGCAAGGACCCCAACCCAAATGACAAAGGTTTATTCAAATGAAGCAACAAGGTAGGCCAGAGACAACGTTTGGGTTTGGGGAAGAATCAGCAGAGGCTGACTAGAGAAAAATGGAAGGGAATGCAGAAATATATGTGTAGGCATTTATAGGTGTATGACCGAAAGGGCATTGTTTGCGGTGTGGACATGCTCCTGAAATTCAGATAAACTATTTTTCATTTCTTCAAGAATTATAAATTATTGCCCAGATTAAAGTCTGCTTCAAATTCTCCTGAGAACCGAGGGGAAAATAATATTTCCTTTAGAACTTTTTTTTGTGATTTATTTATTTTGAGTATTTAGGGGCAGGTTAGAAGAGATTTTAAGCCATCTGTGGTCTATGCTGTATATGAGGACAGGCGGTTGGTAGCAACAGGTGGTGCAAAATGCTCAAGATGGACAATATGGATACTAACTTGCCTTTTTAGCAAGGCCACATGTTACTAAATGGGCCACAGCAGTTGGATTTTGCTCATGAAACAACAACAATAGAGTAAAAATTTCGCACCATCAGAGAAAATGCCAAAGAAGTAAAAGCCTTTCTTCAGTTTAACATTTCTTTATTGTATTTTTCTGTAAGTATTTAAAATTACAACCTCCTTAAACATTTCCATTCAATCCCGAAGAAAAAATTTTAACATTTGCATATGAACATTTGAATGGAAACATTGTACTGTGTTTTCTTACTACTACTAGGGATGTAAAATTCCCTGCTTTTTACTCAGCGTTATGTCACTAACTGAACAATGGCTTACAACCTGTAAGTCTAACAGAAATAACACAAATCTGTGTTATCTTTTACAGTACATTAGTTGTTTTACATCAAAATAATACAGATGAAAAGCAGTGATATCGCTTATATTGAACACTCTTTTTCAGGAACATATAAGTTGAAAAATAACCTTGAAGTTTAACAAGTAAAATAAAACAACCTCTGTTAATCTTTAGTCCAGCACTCGTTGTCCAAACTGCATCTCTGGGAATCAACCCTTCACTAAAGTCATGCAATGTAAAGGCAGCCAGAACCGAAGAAGTCATGTTCACAAGCTCGTTATAGATAGTTGGGATATACATATTTAGGCAGTACTGACAACCTTAGCCAGTTTTATCCATGTGCAGCAACTATTTAGTATTTGATATGTGCTACAATAGATTTCAGTGGATGGGTAGCAATTCTGCCAAATATGACCCCAAATGTCAAAATGTATTTAAAAACACATAACATTTCTCTGATGTAGCAAAGTACGTGGAGTATTGGACATCGCCCTCATAATGATCTTATAGACTAAATATCTGCTTGTAAGAGTAATGATGTCTCATACTTGGTTTGAGACATCTTCATCAACAAACCAAAAACAGCTGAGATCTGAGATCTTCAGCTGACATTTCAATCTGGCTTTTCTTTCACTGACCATCAATTATTTTCAGCATGTTTCAGCCAACACAGGAAACTGCTTGCAGTCACGTCGGAGAAAGAGAATTCTTCTTATTCGATGGCATGAAATCCATAAAAGAAGCACAGGTCTGTTTTCCACGGATAAACGCCTGTGATGCACCAGCCTGAATTTGCAAGATTGATTTATGTCACGGCTTCTGCCTAGCTGACATCAACAACCGTGTGTGTGTGTGCATGTGTGTGTGTGGGTGCAAACTTGTATGCCTGTGTGTGGACAGTGGCTATGCAGACCTCTACTGTGTGCATATTAAGTGACAGTGTGTATATGTTTGTTTTATGTAATGGTCAATATGTGCTGTTATGCTTAATTTCTGCTGTTTGACCAGCAGTTAACCAGAGTCCCTCCCTCAGACTGTAACGGGGCAGACAATAATTCTGTCCTCCAGCATGACACTGACAACGAGGAAAACAAAGTACAGCAAAAACATAAGAAAG